CCTTGCCTTTGCCATTGTCACCAAATGTGATACTATCAATCCCATTGCTCTTGTTTTTATTGATTGAATTGAACATTCTTGAATCACTGGTCATGTATTGTGTGCACCCACTATCAAGCACCCAATGCCTTCCTCCAGCTTTATAATTGACCTACAAAAGAAGATCAATTCTTTTTAGGTACCCAAACTTGCTTGGGTCCTTGAAGGTTAGTTACCAAGGTCTTTGGTACCCAAATAGCTTTCTTCTTTGGGCCTACAATTGGTGTACCAATGAACTTAGCCTTCATACCATTGGCACCCTTAACGAGCATGTAACAAGAATCAAATTTAATTGAGGATACATTAGGTAGCTTGTTCTTGTTAATCTTGCAATCTTGCTCTACATGCCCAACTTGCTTGCATCTATTGCAAAATCGACCATTGCCCTTCACAAAGCTAACTTTGGGAGTGACAAAGACCGCCTCGCCTTTTTTGAGGATATAGCCTAATCCCTCTTTGTTGAAAGAAAACCTTTGGCTACTCAAGCACTTTAGCAAGCGGACATCTCCACCATAGGCATTGCCTAAGGCACGAGTGAGCTCATTCACCTCCTTCTTGAGGGTCTCATTTTCCACCATTAGTGAGGCACCACAAGTGAGACCATCACTCAAAGGTAAGGTAGAAGTAGTAGTGCTACAAGAAGTGTTAGTGGGAGCAACTACAATGGGCTTATAAAAAAATTCATCAATAAGATCACATGTTAGTCACACATTACAAGACACGATCACTTGCTCCTTCTTAGCTTCCTCCTTGACTTGCTCAATGAGAGAGGAGTGACCTTTTTTAAGCTTAGAGTGAGCTTTGCCAAGCTTCTCATGGGCTTCCATTAGCCTCTCATGAGTGGCATTGAGCTCATCAAAGGATTGCTCAAGAAATTTGACTTTCTTGCATAATTTTTTGCACTCCTTTCTCTTCATCTCAACGTAAGTGTGCACTTGCTCACACATGTCCAAGAGCTCCTCCTTGTGTACTCCTCCTCATCATCATCATCATCATCATCACTCCTACAAGCATCACTTTTATATTCATCATCATCACTCATATCATATTTTACCTTGGTAGGCTTTGCCATGAGGCATGTCGATGGAGTGTCGAAGATAGAGGGCTTGTTATTGATGGCGATGCTTGGTAGTGCTTTCTTGATAGATTTCTTGTCATCATCACTAGAGCTATTACTATCCGAAGAGCCATCACTATCACATGTGACCACATAGCCTCCACCTTTCTTCTTCTTTTGAAAGGTCATTCTCTTCTCTATCTCATTTTTTTCTTTCTTGTCATTCTTCTTTTCATTCTCATCATTGTCACTATTGTAGGGATAATTTGCTACAACGTGATCAGGGCTCTTGCAATTGTAGCATATTCTCACATATTCTTTGCTTTTGGTGTGATCTCTTTTCTTTCTTGCACCATAGCCCTTCTTCTTCATGAATTTTCCCATCTTGCGTACAAAGAGGGACATAGCTTCATCATCAATATTACTAAGATCATCGTCATCACTTGATTCTTTCTTGGACTTTCCTTTGTTCTTGGATAATGATGAGCTAGCCTTGAATGCTATAATCTTCTTCTTCTTGTCTTCTTCCTTCTTGTCCTCCTTGTTATCCCCCTCCCTTTCCACATGGTATGTCTCTTGTGTCATGACATCACCTAGTACTTGGTTAGGAGTAATCTTCTTCAATCCTCCTCTTATGATAAACAATCTCAACATCTCAAATCTTGGAGGTAGGCACATTAAGAATCGATGAGAGACATCATCATCCTTGATCTTCTCTCCCAAAGCCTTCAAGTTATTGATAATTACTTGCAATCGATGGAACATCTCCGGAATGCTCTCATCATCCTTCATCTTGAAGCTTATCAACTTATCCTTGAGGATGTACAACTTGGCACTCTTCACCGCCGGTGTGCCCTCATATATTTTCTCCAATCTCCTCCACACCTCATTAGCTCTTTCACAATCCTTGATTTGCTCAAACACCTTAGAATCAATGGCATTGTATATGGTGTTGAGAGCCATTGTATTATATTGTTTGTTGGTCTTGTCTTGGTTGGTGGGATTGTTGGGATCAATGATAGCATAGTCATTCTCGGCCACCTCCTATACTTGATCATTGATTGAACCAAGATACATCTTCATCTTTTTTTCTAATAATCATAGCATGTGCCATCAAAGAACGATGGTTTGCCCTCCACATGGTTGAACACAACTTGAGCCATAATTTGACACCGAAATTGTTAAGCCTTTAATCAAACGGTGACCACGGCTTGAAAGGTCCTAATATGGTTAGAGGGGGGTGAATAGCCTATTAAAAAAATCTACAGATCAACTAGAGTAATTTAATTAGTATAATAAATAGCAAAATGCAAACTTGCTCTAGCTCTACAAGGGTTGTAAGCCACCTATCCAACAATTCTAGTTGCTATGATCTCTAGACACACAATTTTCTATGTCACTATTCACTAAGAGCTCTCACACTTGCTACACTAAAGAGCTCCACTAGATGAACTTAAAACAACAAATCAAGCTCTCAATTCTAATTACACTAAAGAGCTTACTGCAACTAGTTTACAAGAATATAAATAAGTGAGTAGGGTGATCATACCGCTGTGTAAAGGAGTGAACCAATCATAAGATGAATACTAAATCAATCACCGGGAGAATACCAAAGGGCAAGAGACAACCAATTTTTCTCCTGAGGTTCACGTGCTTGCCGGCACGCTAGTCCCCGTTGTGTCAACCAACACTTGGTGGTTCGGCGGCTAAGAGGTGTTGCACGAACTTCGTCCACACAATAGGACACCGCAAGAACCTACTCACAAGTGAGGTAACTCAATGACACGAGCAATGCACTAGAGTTACCTTTCGACGCTCCGTCGGGGAAGGCACAAGACCCCTCACAATCACCACGATCGAAGCCAGAGACAATCACCAACCTCCGCTCAACGATCCTCCCTGCTCCAAGCCATCTAGATGGTGGCAACCATCAAGAGTAACAAGTGAATCCCGCAGCGAGACACGAATACCAAGTGCCACTAGATGCAATCACTCAAGCAATGCACTTGATTCTCTCCCAATCTCACAAAGATGATGAATCAATGATGGAGATGAGTGAGAGGGCTTTGGCTAAGCTCACAAGGTTGCTATGTCAATGCAAATGGCTAAGAGAGTGGGCATCTCACAAATATGATGAATCAATGATGGAGATGAGTGAGAGGGCTTTGGCTAAGCTCACAAGGTTCCTATGTCAATGCAAATGGCCAAGAGAGTGGGCTTGAGCCAGCCATGGGGCTTAAATAGAAGCCCCCACGAAATAGAGCCGTTGGCTCAATTATTGGACAGACTGTGCATCGACCAGACGCGCTGCTCGAGTGCACCGGACGCACCGTTCGTGAATACCGGACGTGTCTGGTAGGTCGATCAGACGCGTCTGGTCGCTCTCAGACCGCCACGTGTCTAGTTCAAACCAAGGTAGACGTTGCTGCCCATACTTACTAACGACCGGACAGTCAGACCGGACGCTAAAATAGAAATGACCGGACGTTGAGCCGTAGTGTCCGGTCGAATCCAGAGAGTACCCGAGGCCGATCAGACGCGTCTGTTAGAAACTGACCGGACGCTGAGCCTTAGCGTCCGATCGAGTCCAGTAAGCACCCACGGTCGACCGGACGCTGCCAGTGTCCGATCAACTGTTTCACCGTACAACGACTTAGCTGATTCACACCGGACGCGTCTAGTGTGGCGATCGGACGCGTCCGGTCGCTGAGTTCGTCGTTAATACCGGACGCGTCCGATCACTCTGTGACCAGCGCGACTAACTCTTTTTCAACTCTATCTTCTTCACCCTTACCCAAATGTGCCAACCACCAAGTGTATCACCTTGTGCACATATGTTAGCATTTTTTCATAAACATTTTTAAGGTTGTTAGCACTCCACTAGATCCTAAATGCATATGAAATGAGTTAGAGCATCTAGTGACACTTTGATAACCGTATTTCACTATGAGTTTCACTACTCTTAATAGTACGGCTATCAAATCTAAATGTGATCATACTCGCTAAGTGTCTTGATCATCAATACAAAATGGTTCCTACCACTTATACCTTTGCATTGAGCCTTTTGTTTTTCTCTTTCTTCTTTTCAAGTCCAAGCACTTGATCATCACCATGGCATCACCATCATCATGTCATGATCTTCATTTGCTTCACCATTGGGAATGTGCTACCTATTTAATGATCACTTGATAAACTAGGTTAATACTTAAGGTTTCATCAATTCACCAAAACTAAATTAGAGCTTTCACAGGCTGCTCGGGCAAGCGGGACTGGCCACGGGGTTTTTATACGGCTCTGTCGCGTCACGGATCAGGGCGCGGCACTGTCGCGCCAAGATCGGTGGCGCAGCAGGCCTCGCCACGTCAACGGTCAGCCGGTCCGGTCGTCGCCACGTCATCCCCTGCCGCGCCACCATGCATAGCGCGGCACATGCCTTTTGCCGCACCATGGCAATAAGCGCGGCCAAAAGTGTTAGTTTGGAAAATAAAAAATAAACCGTGTTAGATTTAGAATTAATTTAAAAAAGTGTTAAAATTAAAAAAAATCATTCGCACCAAGCCAGCGCGTGCACCCGCGCCGCCGATGGCATGCTCCTCTGAGGACGGGCGGCGGCGGCGCCTCCGCCGCTGTCCCGCTGATCTACGTGACGCCGAGCCGGAGGAAGGCGAGCTGGTCCCCGGGTGCGACTCCGACGTGGACACCGATGACTACTACAACAACCACGACTACTATTCCTCGAGCGACACAGATGAGACCACCAGCGACTGCAACTACGCCCGCTCCGTCGTCCTTCGAAATACGGCGGCGCCGCTGGCCCGTCCTCCGCCGCCGCCGCCGCGGCGAATAACAACGGCAACGCAAGCTCGTCCCCCGTCGCGGCGCCGGCAAGGCCGTCCGCGGGCACATGAAGGTTCACCAGCAGGGGACGATTGGGCGCCATGAGCAGCAGGGGATCGGGAAGGCCAAGGGGATCAAGCGCAATGCGGCGGCTGTCACGGGGGGCTGGGGCGGCACCGGCAAGCGAGGCTGCTCCAGGTGTTGGAGCAAGCCTGCCTTTCCCAATGCCCAATCGGACCAATCCATGACCATTGTCGTTGCAAACACCAAAATTGTCTTGCAGCCGATGCCCTTGGCGTTCGCAATGCCCGTGCCCATGGAGCCCGCAACGCCAAATCCCTCATCCGTGCCCATGGCATCCGGAACACCAAATCTGTCGTCCGTTCCCATCGCCTCCACGATGACCAATGTTTCCGACGAGAGCAGCTCTGCGAAGCCGATGCACGGTGATGCAATGGAGACAGTGGTGGCAGGAGCAGACAACCCACCCACCGAAGCCGTCGTCCACGAGCAACCCATTGAGCCGCCGCCGCCGCCCCCTGATGCAGAGGAGGAGCGAGTTCAACTTCCACCCATCCACCCGCACCCCATTGCGCCGTCGCTTGCAGTTGCAGGTCGCCAAAATCCGAACGGGTACACATGCAAACAGTGCGGCGTGTGGTTCACGATGCACCAGGGCCTCGGTGGCCGCCACAAGACCAGGGAGCTCGCTGCCGTTCCATGCCGCCGTGACGCCAAGCCGGAGAAGGTGCACGTGTGCAGGATCTGCGCTGCGGTGTTCCCCGCCGGAGTACAGCTCGGCGGCCACATGAGGAAGCACTATACTGGCGCGCCGATCGTGCCCAAAAAGAAGCCGCGACTCGCCGTCCAGCCCTTTCCACCGCCGGCGGATCAGAGAACCCTCGAGCCTGCACCTAGGCCGGCCGTGGCGGGCAGAGTGCGTCTCTTTGGCGTTGACATTGAGGCGGGGCCGCAGACGCCAGCGGCGCAAGAAGAAGGCTCGTCTGCGACTCAGGCCCCATCGGCGTCACCGGTGGGGACTGGGGAGCAGCAGTAGCCTATAATGGAAAGTGTCGCCTGGACTCCCACGTGGGACGGAAGTTTCGGTTTGTTAGCTAGGAGCAGAGATTCAGAGAACAACTAATCTGGAGGCTAGTTGGGGCACCCTTACAAAAGTGTAATGTGTACACATACATGTACTAGTAGTACTATATATACATAAGAATACATAGTATTGTTCCCTTTTCTACTATATAGAAGAATTTAGATTATATTATTTTTCCTTCTTTGAGCACATGCACTTGTGATCACGGAACATACTTCTTTTTCAACCATATATAAGCAGAAATTTGTCCATGAAGATGACTTGAACGCTTGCCGGAACGTTTGGGGCAAAAGCTTAAACTGCGCAATAATAGGGAGCCTTTGTCCCATGCATGCGCACGGGCTAGTTTACCAAATGCCAATATTGTCTCTTAAGACAATAAGTAATAATAAAAATATATACCAATAAATTAAAATCATATATAATGTAAGGAGAGTCTAATTTTATAAGGCATATGTTTTCTGTCCTCCCTAGTAATTAGGCTTGGAGATTAAGATATCACCTATTCAAAAGGTTGGATAGTCATTTTAGTCTCTCAACAACTACTGCCTGATTCTCAACTTCGTCTAACTTTCAAAACGATAGTGCAGTCCTCAACGTTTACTCATGGGCTCTGTTTCATCTTCGGACTATCAAAGTGACCTTTTCAAGGACACGGAAATTCTGCCCTTAAGGGCTCATGCTCCCACGCCCACAACCGTTGATCGGTACACTCTCGAGATGTGTGCCATTTTTACTCTACCTCGTATGCTCCATGGGATACGTATAGCACTATTCATCTTCCTCCTCCAGCCGCCCGCCACCATTCCTGCTTGTCCTCGCCCCCGCCACGGGTGCTAGGGTTCGCCGGAGCTCCGATGAACCCTACCGCCTGCGGGCGGCCTCCCTCTTCCCCTCCCCCCACCGCCATCTTCTCCGACTCCGGCGAACCTCCTCCACGGCAAGCTCCGGCCATGGAACGCTTCCGCCCCGGCCTAGCCCGACCGCCCCCTACGCCGCCAGAACCCGAAAGGCGCTCCACCGCCTGCCCGGCCCTCCTCCCCCCCGAACCTTCCCTTGTAAGCCCACCGGAGTTGGAGAAGATAAGAGGGAGAGCTCGTCGGAAACCTAGCTCGGAGATCTAGGAGGAGGCACACCTCGCCTGCGCCGCCGCCGCCGCCTGAACCACCACCGTAACCCGGCGCCGTCGGAACCATCGCTGCCTAGGGAGGGGCACTGGGGAGGGGGAGGGGCCAGGGGAGGAGCGCCACCAGGGTGGATGGAGAGGGGGCCGGCGCCACCGTGGTGCGCCATGGGAGAAGCGAGGCCGCCTGGCCTGGGGAGGGGCCGCCACCGGGGAGCGGTACGGCTCGCTACTACGGGTCGAGACGGGAGGGAGGGAATGAGGGCACTGCGTATGCGTATATACTGGAGGGAGTAATAATATAATAGATTTGTATTTGGAGTTGGAGTAAATGTGGCACAGATCTTGAGGTAGCTCATCCAACGGCCGCATGTTGCAGGGCATATGCCCTTGTGCATAGAATTAACTTTCTCCCTTTTCAATCCTCATGCTTTGCATTTTGAGCTCAATTTCAACCATAAACTATCAAAGTGTATCCTGGTCCTTAAACTTTTCTTTTCAGCTCAACTTCATCCATTGTCCTACGTGAAACACAACGCTAGCATACCTAGTAAGCTCTAGCATCGTCCATGATCAGAGATAAACATAATACAGCCTGTTCGGGAGGCCGTATCGTATCATAGATTATTTACTGCTGGCTGATTTGTTGTGAGAGAAAAACACTGTTCCCGGCTGGAAATTTACGATCATTTACGAGCAAACGAACAGGCTGATAGTCTTCAGATAAAAACATAATTATTAGTGGACGGTTAGAAACTTTATTAGACATTAATAATCTAATGATTTATTTTAATATATTTCTTCCTGAGATGAGGATACCCTTCAGGCAACGCGCCCGCAAGCGCTTCCCATCTCCTCTCTCTCTCTCTCTCCCCCCGATGACCTCCTCCCTACGAGCTCCTCCCCGCGCCCCAAAGCGGATCCAGCGACCTCCCCAACTCTGGTGAGCAGATCCGACGGCGACATGGAGGCTTTGGGCGGATCTGACGATGGCCATGGCGGATCCGGTGGCGGCCATGGCGGATCCGGCGAGGTATGTCCTCCTCCTCCTGGATCTAAGAGTTAGGGTTCCGGTGATTTCTCCCCCTCATCCTCCACAACTCCGGCGGGCTTAGAAAGGAAAAGTTTGGGGGAGGAAGGTTGGTCAGGCAGTGACGATGGTGGAGGGCGGTTTAGGGGCCCTGGCGGCGGTGGAGGTGGCCGGGCCAGGTCAGGGCGAGGGCATCGCGGCTGTTCGCTGGAGTTGAAGAAAGCGATGGCGGGAGGGGGAGGGGAAGTGGGGGCCTCCGTGGGTGTGGTAGGTTCTCACTGGAGCTCCGCGGCCGGTGGCGGGGCGGTGGGCGACGGCGGGGCGAGGAGCGGGCCGGTGCGAACGCCATGGCGAGAAGAGGAAGGTGAACAGTGCGTTGCCTAAAAGAAACGAATTTTCCAGGCACCTGGAATATAGTAAATCCCTTGTTTTAAATGTTGCCTTGTAACGGTAATGGTGTTGTTTATATATATCCTACAAGATTGTTTTTGTGGGAATACTTACGGTAGCTACGAATACTATTTAGTACCTTGAGAACACATTCATGAAATAGAACAACATTAGGTCTACAATTTTTCTCTTAGCTATTTCTAGCCAATCTGAACAAAAATAATATTTTTCTATAAGCTAAAAGGTATTTAGTTACTGGAATGAAAAAATATATATAATTAGAATTGAATAGTAATTGGATCCGAATGGTCTGATTATTCATATTCGAGGATATTTGGATCCATATTCATATTCATTTTGATGTACTCAATCCATCCCAAATTGTAAGACGTTTGACTTTTTTGACACCAAGTTTGACCACTCGTCTTATTCAAAAATTTGTGTAAAATATCACTTCTTTCGTCGTGGTTTGGTTTATTAATAAAAATTCTTCAAGAATGACTTAAATTTGACTATATTTGCACAAATTTTTTGAATAAGACGAGTGGTCAAACTTGAGGCCAAAAAAGTCAAACGTCTTATAATTTGGGATGGAGGGAGTATTATGGATATAAATATCTAAAATGTGATATCTGATTCGATAGTTAGGGAACAAATGTGGTCCTGGAGCCGACCATTTGAGGTCATGGCGTTCCACGTAGGACATGGGACAGATGGGACAAAATTGAGGAAAAATAAAAGGTTTTATGATTAAATGCACTTTGGTAGTTCATAGGTGAAACTGAGCCTAAAATACAAAGTTTAAGGACTAAAATGGCCGTTTTGATAGTTCTAGGATGAAACTTGGCCCAATAAATTTAATGACTGGAATGGTTATTTTAAAGATTAGAGATGAAATTATACATTGGACGATAGTTGAGGGATCAAAATGACTATTCTACCTATTCAGAGTCCAAGGATAATCTATTTACAAATCTCCTCATATGGCACATGAGAAAAAGAAAAAAAACTTGCTTAGGGCAAGCATATTGTAACACATCAACAATCGCATAGATCTTCTCATATGAAGCTATGTAAGATTTTTTATGACATAGAGGAGAGAGAAGAAGGCAAGGGAAAGAAACAACCCCTCAAAAGCTAAAATTTAGGATTATAAGACAACTTGTGCATCAGGTTGTTGTAATGCAACTTGCAACATTTATATTCCTTTCGTTATGTGAACAAATTTACATCTTATTGTTTACTCCCTCCAGTTTCCTAAAAGATATCATTTTGGACAGCGACACAGTCTCCAAAACATAACTTTGACTTCTTATTTTATAAAAATATTTATTGAAAAGTGATATATGTAAATTTTTTTGAAAGTATATTTCAAGACAAATTTATTCATATGGTTTTCATATTTTCAAACTCGACAATTTAAAAGTTATTCATGATTTATATTCCCAATGTTTGACCCAAGCCTTGTCCAAAACAACATCTTTTAGGAAACTGGAGGAAGTAGGTTGTCTAATAAATTGACTCAAGATTATAGACCGTATATAAGACAATATCAATATACTTGCCTTTAGAGCAACTACATTAGTGTTGTCTTGTAAGCAGTCTCGTATAATGCAACATAATCTTTAGTCTTGAGTTGTCTCCTAGTAACTCAGTATTTTTTTTCCCAATCGAGACACCTCATTTCCATTAAAAGCTAACGGAAATACAGAGTTTGGAGGAATGATAGACAGTTCTCAGAACCACACGAACATAGAACTACCAGCTTAAAACTACCTACGCTCTGTTTCAGAGCACCAGAAACTTGACTTCCCACTAAGATCTTCTACTCTCTTAGCGAACTAACAGAGAGTTTACCAGAAGTATCACCCAACTCCAGCAAGACCCATTTATTATATTACAAAGCCAAAAAAACATGCATCAACTCCAAAAGGAACTACTGTGTAATGCCCTTTGTCTGCTTCTCAACCAGTTTCATCCTAGTAACTCAGTATGGCAATCAAATCACAATGAAATCTATTTCTCGCACCACATAGCCCAAATAATGCCCGGCGGCTGAGAGACCGGGGAGTCTTTTATCAATTCTCACGGACAGGGCCTGGAGCTCTTTGCTGACAATAAACAGCTTCACCGCCTGAAGATGCTACTGCAAGTTTTGACAACCTACATATATAGCACTAGCTCCGATTCAGATAAAAAATGGACGGTCAGAACTTATCTGACTAGAACAAAACGACCAGAACTATTAAAAGCAGCCCATGCTTCCTGCTGCTTTCATCGGCCGGAATGCCATTTTGTTAGTTTTGAACTAAAGAACCAAGTAACCAACGCAATACAACGGCACAGCTACGAGTAGCTCCTACACTCACCTGGTCACAGCATAGGTGCAGCTCTCAAGGGTCAGAGCTCTCTCTTCTTCTTTTTTACACCATTCCGTCATGCTCGGCTGCTTCCCTTTACCTCCCAGCTCTGTCACGCCATGCTTATATTTCGCGACGAGCCGGGGACTCCTACAGGCTACGTCCTACCATTCTGTCTACCACCCTTCCACCTCTTCAGACGCTTCAGCTCCACCACCACGACGCTGATGTTGTCAGTGCTGCCCCGCAACATGGCGAACTCCACCAGCATCGCGGCGGCATCGCTACCCGAGCTCCCGTGGATGGTGTCAGGGTACTTAGCAGCTGCGCGCCCGCACAAACAGTTCCTCGCGACCTTGCAAGCCTCCTCATTGGACATGACATCCCACAGCCCGTCGCTCGCCAGGATGATGAACTCGTCTTTGTGCGTACGCTCCGTAACAGTCACCTCTGGTTCAGCTGATATGAATGGCTTCATGTAATAGTCATCTGAAATAGCAGACAGAAGAATTTCAGTGATCGATCCATAATAAGCACGATCTGTGAGGGAATGTCTGTCTAAATAATGGAGAGATAGCAATGTATTGAGCAATTCAAATTCATCAGCTTCCAAGTCCACAGAGGGTTTTGCAAGTTGCAACTCATCCTTATGAGGTTTGTTGCTTCACTAGTCATAGGGGACCACTACTGGTGCAGCTTGGCTTATTGGACCTAAGGTTCAGGGTGCACAGAGCATGGCATTGCTGTAAAATTCACAATGAATGTTTCAAAAAAAACACAATGATCCAAGTGATAACATGATCAACTATCATGCAGTTATGTTCATTGTTTCTCCTTACCAAAGCTACTGCAATTGTTAGACAGTTGAGATTCTAGCTAGAAGGACGGTGATTGTCATCTTCACTCACATGGAGAATGTATAGAAGTACAGAACAAAAGGAGACATCATCGTAATTCGTACCAATTGACCTTGACGTCGCAAGCACCCCCAGGACACGGTACCCATTCCAGTTGATGACCCTGCCACCTGCTGATTCAACCCTTTCCAACTCATCAGGCCTATCTGGCTGTACAGTTAGAAAAAAGTTTTCATTAGCATTACCTGTGACAAACAATACGTGTTAGACAAAGCTGAAACTGTAAAACAAGTAGGAATGGAAATCTCAAAGTGGACCCCTCCAACAGACGAATTCAACACTGCACTGAATCAGCAAAAAAATATGCATCATTTTGACTAATTTGAAATTCTGGACTCAGACAATGATTAGACATTGCAAAACTTACAGCACAACTTATTACAATTTACATATCAAAGTTTGAAGAACCTCATCAGTTATCACTATAATGGGTAATGGGACTTGAACACTCATTTCGTATTTCAGACCTTTAGGGGCTACCGTTTCCTGTGTTCTGCGGCGTTCAGACAACTTGCAGTTCAGAATGATGGATACAGTAACAACGCTGCTTTTTGTCTAGAGATGTTATCATAGAAAGATCATATTGTGAGAAGTTGTGGTGGGCATTGAAGCGTGGCACATAAATAAGGTCAAGAAAAAGAATATGTTCTAGTTGCGGGTAGATCAAGTCATATCAAGTGCACCAGGAAACTTCAAAGTTCAGCTATTACTAGAGCACCAAACAGAGTTAACCTCACTTAATCACTTCAGTGTCAATGCATTCTCCTAGACCCTACATGCTAGCAAGATAAATCTAAATAAAGCAGGTTAATGAACCCTCCCCTTTTTAGTCCCAGCAGAGCTTCCAGGTTTAGCCAGGAGAAAAAACACTGCATTTTCAAAACCATATCCTCGCATTGACCAATTGTGTTAACTGGTACACCTGCAACAGTTGCATGATCTCTTTGCACATCCTACATCATTAGAGTTTAAGCTTTGCATGCCACAAGATCAAGGTTGGTCCCCACATTGGGAGTGAAAAGACCAAGCCGACAAATAGCAATGCTTACTTAAAGCAGCAGCCTAGCAGGCAACCATCGTACTTGATATGATTTCACAAAGCCGCATCTAAAACAAATTATTTCTCACCTAATGTGATAGTGTTAATGTGCAACACTTCCGTTTTGAAAACCACCCTCGACTTCATTTGCGCACCCAATGTCAAGAACTTTATTCCCCATCACTGTATCCACTATCTTGTTTCCAGCTAGATAGGCCCTATCATAACATATAATGTATTACATCAACTTGAGATATGTAACCCTCCAAATAATGTTCACCATGTCTCGAGCATGCGGTTAGCAGTTAATTGCTAACTACACAGTACAGAAAAACTATCTAAAGCATTGTCGTAGAAGGCTTCTCCCACAAAGCTTACTCTATTTTGGTTTACAGATTTACAGATTGATACAACCCAAAAAACATTGATATAAGACACAAAAAAGGTTCAAATAACTCACCTAGAAGATGTCAGATAAAATGGTGAAGCATCCTATATGGCATGTTTGAAGCACACTTAGTATTGACTAAGGTGTCAGTGGTGTACAATATTTAACATAAACAACTGAACCAAGGACATGCGCAGTTCACAGAGATAAATCTAACAGTACATAATATTTTGCAGAGGCACAAGATGATGCCACTTTCCCAAGACATATATGACATAGATAAGATGAAGAACTTGAAATAGTTGACTACATCACAACAAACGTTAATCAAGGACACTTAAAACAAAGGTGTTCCTATTTGCAGCTCTCAACGATACCACAGGAGCAGAGTGACTACTAATCACAAGGACTGAACCGAGCTAATTAACTACCAAAGAAAGATGTTCCATTATCTCGCTGCAGTGCACACAGTTAGGGCATGTACAGTGGAGTGAAATCAACCATCTATAAAAGGTGCCACATATGATTTTATCCAATGTGGAAGGAAGAGAAAGATGAGAGACAACAATGTCGTCTAGTAATTAACGGACAGTTTGGGAGCAGGAGAGAAATCTCTTATAAACAACATTTTTTCTACTACAGAGGTATCGTTTATTAATTATTATATCTAGCCACATGTTATGCAATAATTGGATGCTATTGAGATTTCCCCAAGACAATTCATTTTTTTAGGTAAAGAATATAAAATCCAGCCCCTATATCCATGTGGGATAGTCATCTTACATATATAAGTGCCCATGGCAGTTAGCACCCTACTGAACCAAATATCACGAATGGATTACTGAAATGGAAGCTTTGCCGTTTCGTTCCGCAAAAGAGCACTTGAGCAGAGTTTAGACTGAGACAGGCCACGAGGACACAGGGGCTGGGGGCTCAAGTCTGAACGATAGATCTTCTGGGGCACGCGTAGAATTTCTACCCGCTCTGTTCTGCTTCCAGAACGCTACTAATCAAACCTCAGTTTCCACGAAGTCGAGCTCTGTCTGCAGAAACCATTTGCAAGTTGTAACAAATGCTGAAATGCAACATTGCATGAGCTGGAAGCAAATAGTGGGCCTAAACTAGTTTCATTTTTGGAAGGACTAAACCAGTTCGGCATGTGTGTATATGAAGCAAACAATTATTTCCTCCCAGTTTAAGTATACAGAATGACCTTGAGATTCCTTCCCGGTGCAAAAGGAGCCCATGAAAGATACTGGTGGGCAGCATATATAGAGGTGCAAGTGAAGCACGCTATCAGAACTGGCCGACCCTTTGTACCCGATCAAAAAAAAAAAAAAGAACTGGCCGACCTTGATCCAACCAAGCACCCTTGTCGGGTAACCGCGGCCGAACCACGCCCGTCGTCGTGCCTTGGCCCGAATGCCCGATGGGGAACTCCACCCGACCCGACGTGTCGCCCGCTTTGCCGCGTGAGTAGGACCCCCGGCCAGGTGTAGACCACCCTGCCCGCCGCTTGGCGTTTTCCGCAACAAACCCTGGCCACGTGGTAAGAGTCCTCGGGGATTAGTCTTTTCTCATTCTCACGCAGTGGGCGGCAGTGCGACCAAAAAAATCTCAATGCCAGGTCCGCGCGGCCACGAGCAGGATCGCCTTCCAATTTGGCACAGTGTGCTACAAGGCAGGCCCTGGGCTAGCCGTGCAAGGCGCCTTGCCAAAAGCCGGGAAAAAAAATGGGTGCGACGAAACGAAACGAAACCTGCGGCACGGTCGAGACGAGCGCTGCCGCTTCGACACGACCGAACGCCAAAGCCAGGGGGTTTGTTGGCGCGGTGCCGGCGCAGGGGCTTTCGGCGCCTGCCTTTTGCGGCCTGTGCGCGACACCTGTGATCCCGGCCGAAGAAAACGGCACGGCAGGCATTGGCGTCATGACGGCGACGTCGACGCGTGCGTAGACGGCGGCGTAGCGTCCCTAATTCTCAGCCGCATCGCGAGCGATTCTAAAAAATCAATGCGGATCTGGGGGGCACATGGCGAGCTACCAGCTTGCCGCCGTCCCCTGCCTTGATGGCAGGCAAGTCGGGAGAATTTGTTTTTTTTTTGTGTGTGTGTGTGTGTGTGTGGGTGGGGGGAGATTTTTTGCATTTTGGTTCCTTTTAAAACATTTTTTACAAAAGACCCTGTTAAAACTTTTGCTAAAAAAGACCATTTTTAAGCGCCTTAGAAAATCACGTCAGAGAGAAGGTCGGCGTCGACCGACACGACGCCGAGTCCTTGCCACGTCACCGACGACTCGGTCAAGCATGGGGGGCCCAAAGACGTCGGCGTCGTGTCAGCCAACGCCACAGGCCTAAATTCGGCGCTGTGGGGAGTCACGCCGAGCTCTTGGCACCATCCGGCACGCGGCCCAAGTGGCCCAACAACGCTTCGTGGGCCAAGAGGTCGGCGTGCGATCAGATGACGCCGAGACGCTAACCTCGGCGTGACCCGACTCAACGCCGAGGTTCGGTCAGTTGAGGCCGCGCCGCGGCCCCCTTCTTCCTCCTCCCTCCATTCAGAACCAACATGTGACCATTTCCCACTCCCTCGTCCCACGAACCCTAAATCCTAAATTCAGCTCTTGGGAGGTCAGATCGAGGGTTTTGACGTTTTGCCAAGGTACTTCTCTTTCCCCTCTTTCATTTCATCTATTTAGATTCGGTTGTTTGTGTTTTTTTTGAACTTGGCATTATAGGTTTGGTTTATGTTCATGTCATTCGTGCAATGTATGGTGGTTCAAATGATTGAATGACCCAAATGTATGGTTGTTGTTGTTGTATATGTTTTGGTTTATAATCATTGAGTTAAATTTTGTGTTTGTTGGGATTCAAATTTACTTAGGGTTTGTAATGAAAAGCTTATTTGGGAGGTATGGTGATTTAGTGTTAGTAGCTTTACATTCGTTGCAAGGTACTTTGGATTGATTTTTTTTCTACGTAATGTTAGGATGCCAAGGCGTGGTAAAGCTCGTATTTCAAGGTAATCCTAATGTTTATTCATTATTTGTGCAACAAATAGAAAACCCTAAGTTTAGGTTTGGTTCTCCGTTAATATGACTAAATTCTTTCAATTGTAGCTATGATCGCCAGAGGGCAAATCCCTACGACCTAAAGCCTCTCCTTGAAGGTATTCCTCGACCCATGTGCTTTTGTGGTGATACCTGCAAGGTAGACATCTCTGAAGATGAGGAAACATATAGACAGAGGTACTGGATGTGTCCCAATTATGCATGGGAACCTACAAAGCAACAGCGCCGTGCATCGATTGTGAGAAATTTTTATTGTGTGTTAATTAATTTTCTTGTGATATTAAGTATTGCTTATTTATTTGTTTTGTAACAATTTGTTTTTCTTGCAGACCGTTCCACCACTGTGTGACTTTGAGCAGTGGATTAACACTGAGATCAAGGAGTCGGACAAGCAGCATCTAGAAGGCCTACAGGAGTGGGATGCGGAGGTTAAGGAGAGGTTTGAGCAGAGACGTAGACAGGAGGCTATAGAAAAGGAGCATAAGGAAGAGGAGAAAAGGAGACGTGTTGCTGCGTACAGGGCGGAGAGGGAGAAGAAGCTTGAGTGTGTGCGCCGAGCGAAGACAGCGATGGAGGAGAATCCCGATGCCTAGAGGAAGGGAAAATGGTCTCGTTGCACTCAGTAGGTATTTGGTTTATTCATGAGCGATGTCGTGTAGCCCTGGACTTTTTTTACTATGTTGTAATGCACTCTGCTTTTATTTCAGATAAACTTATTTCCTGGACTTTTTTATTATGTTGTAATGCACTATGCTTTTATTTCAGATGGTCTTATGCCCTGTACTTCGTTAACTATCTAGGATTGTAGTGCTACTGTTTGTATCACTGAAAAGGCTATTTGTGCTGTTGCAGTCACTGAAAAGGCTACAAGTACTGTTGTAGTCAATGAAAAGTCTATTTGAAAACTCACTGAAAAGCCTAGATTCGTTTACTGTTGTATCCGTATACGCAATGAATTAATATCAGAGTGATGTACTGCATTTAGATAAAGTGACAAAACATACGTGTAGCCTTTTCAGATGAAATGACCAGTCATGGTTGTAGGCTTTTCAGATGAAGCATCTAGCCTTTGCAGATTCAATAAATGAGTACGCACACAAGTTTTTTTGTTAAGTAGCATTCATGGTGAACCTGCCTTCATCTCTATATATAGTGCTCCATGTCTTGCTCCACATCCATATAACTTGTTTTCTGGTTTAGTTTTAGCAAATGTCGAGCGGAGGTTCCTCGAGTGGAAAGGGTTTCGGTGGAGGGAGAGGAAAGGGGGTGAGGAAGAGACCTCCGATTGTGTGGGAGGGTTCTCTGGGTCCTGATTCTTTTGAAGAATAATAGAGGAATTTTCTTTGGAGAGGAAGAGTGACTTCACCCGTGAGAGACCTCTTAGATCATACGACAAGCGCATTGAAGATTGGCTAAAATGCCGCCACGGTTTGGATTGCGTTGTGCAGATGTACAACGACTGTGACGGTGGAGGCCGTCATTTCTTTAGATGTCCGCGAGGATTTGTATTTCCTTTGAACTCTCTCCTTTTTTAAATTTGCATTTGGTTTGTAGTAGTATTTATTGGTAGATGGGTTTTCAGGATTCAAGCTGTCTAGATAGCTGTGGCTTCACTAGATGGGTCGACCCTCCTCCTATCTATCCCCATCAACAGTACATCATATATCTACAGGGACGCATCTTTGACCTAGAGTATGGCCTTGGAAGTGGTAACAGGGACAAGTTGGACGACGACAACAGTAATGATGCAGAGAATGCACTATGCAATAATCCGTACTACCAGTGCCCATACCATAAGAAGCACGGACCTCCTTCTCCACCACCACTGCCACCGCCTCCTAATGATCAAAATAACTCGAAACCAAACTAACCTAACATGTTCAGCACATAAAACAGTTAAACAACAATGTACTCAATCAACCTAAGCCATACATTTTGCAAATGCAAATACACATATACCAAAACACCATACACCCATGATTCCACATGATTAGAGACAATGCAAGCACATCTACGCGGATAGATTGGAGGAGGGGAGGGACCATTACCTCGAGGAAGCTTCGAGAGACGAGATCCGGACACCTAGGGTCGCATTTGGGGTTAGGGTTTCGTGGGGCCGTGGGGGGAGACGAACATAGAGCCGGCGCTTTCAGAATGGAGGGAGGAAGATTAAGAGGGGCCATGGCCTTGTTCAAGAGTCCGACCTCGGCGTTGAGTCGGGCCGCCGCCGAAGTCCGGTGGCTCAAAGATTAAGTGACCCCGCCACGAGCTATTGGGCCACGGTTGTTGTTAGGCCACCGGCCGCCACACGGATGGATGGTGCCAATAGCTCGACGTGTAGTCCCACCGCGCCGAGGTTGGGCCTGTGGCGTTGGCTGACACAACGCCGACGTGTCGGACCCTATGCGCCACCGTGTCGCCATCGACCGGGGTCGTCCGTGACGTGGCAAGACCTCAGCGTCGTGTCAGTCGACGTCGACCCTCATACCTTGGTGTCATGTTCTAAGACGTCTAAGATATGATCTATTTTCAGCAAACGTTTTAGCATAGGTCTTTTTATAAAAAATGTTTTCAAAAGGGACAAAAATGCAAAAATTTCACTGCTGGACCCTTGTTAATACCTTGTGGTAGGAGGACAGCGGCACGGGGACGCCGCCGCGAGAGAGCACGGCGCGGGAGTCGCTGCAGTTGGCGACCACGATGTGACGGGGCCCCACGACGACCACGACGGCGGTGGAGCCGCAGCCCATCGTGTCGCTGGGGTTTGTTCTTGTTCGCCTCCCTCTCGACGACGACGACCTCGCCGTCCACGCGGGCGAAGCAGGCCTCCATGGCCTCCCTCCAGCGCACGCCGTCCTCGCCGTCGTCGCCGCCCTTCTTCCCGAGGTGCAGGTGCAGACGCGCCATCTCCTCCGCGAGCACCACTTGCAGCCGCTTCCGGCATGCGTCCGCCACCCGTGACCCGCCGCGCCCGTCGTACACCGCGAAGAACTCCACCTCCGCCTCCCCGCCGCCGTCTTTCTCCTCCCCCTCGCCGCTCTCCTCCTTCCCCGCCGCGGCGGCCACCACCAGGAACGGCGCGGTGACGGCGAACGCGTCCTCCATCTCCCGCCGCCGCCCGATCACCGACATCGCGCCGTGCGACACGGACTTGGGCCACCACCCCGGTCCCGGTGCCACCACCACAGAAGCCCCTTCCTGCGGCTCGGGCGCCACCTTCGCAGACTGGCGGGACGAGTGCACGGAGGTGCCCGACACCGGACGCGCCCGCTTCGCCGCCTCGCCCTCTGCCCCCGCGGGTGCAGTGCGGCCCAGCCGCCTTGCCTCCAGCCTCCGACGTCGCGCTAGCTGCGCCACGGCGGCCAGTATCTTGTCCGTATCCGCGGGCGTGGGCGCCTCCAGCGCGGGCACGCCATGGTCATGCGTGCTATCCTGCACCTCGAGCGCCGGCACACCATGGCCTTGCTTGCCAGCCTCGCTGCTACTCATTCTCTTTTCTCCCACTCCCACTACAAGCGTAGCGGAAGGAAGGAGCGCAAAAGAAGCGAGGGCGTCGGGGATCAGGCCGGCTTTAATGCCCGCGGCCGCGGCGGTCAGCCGTCGGATCGGCGCTAGATGGCCCGGATGCGCGACAGCCGTATCCGGACGTGGACGGCGCGGATCAGCCGTCGCCCGTCGCGTGGCGCTCGCGAAGGGATGGCTTTCGCGATCTCGGCGCTCGAGGAAGCCCCTGGTGCGCGCGGCTCACGTGAACCCAAGAGACGGGATCCGGAAGATAGGCCGTGCGGCCCAGCTGTCAGTGGGAGGTGGTCTGCGTGGAGAAGGCGCGGTCCGCGGCCTCACGTCTGGGGCTTTTAGGTAACGCGTGGGACCCAGTGCGAAGGGGTACGGGGTTACGTGGGGGAGAGAGGAAAGGATGACCGGTGGGGCATGTCGTGCGATTTTTGATTGGTAGGAATGAATTGGTAGACGCACGCCATCGCCGCATGCCAATGTGCAAGAGATTCAGGTGCCTTTGGTCTTTGGGCGCCAGCTGTTGACCGCGCAGCCTGCGCCTAGCCATGTCGTGGTATATCTCGCAAAAATCTGAAGTAATAAAAATGGTATATTATAAACGAGCAGCTAAGAATCTCATGAACTCTTATTATTGCTACTAGACAGTACTAGCATAGATGGCTTCCAAGTGATAGCAGAAGTAACATAATGCTTCAAATGGATTTTAGATCCACCTTGTAAAATTTCAACCAACAAAAAGTTAATATTGCAAAGTTAGTATTGCAATAGCACAAAATCATTGTGGCTGAAACACATTTTTAAAAGTACAACGTGAACACTGATACATGTGCGAACACTCAACGCATCCACACATATCTATCCTACTCCTAGAGCATTTCTGAAGGATCAAAGACAAGAATAATGTCGTTAAATTCTAGAATAAATTTAGAAAAATATGAGTACTCATGTTAAGTCTAGGACTTGACAAAGCTTGGACAAGCTCCACTACACACACAACTGGTGCACATGTTCTGTGCGGGAAACACCCAGGCCTTGAGATTCAAACATGTTGATAAGGGCCTCTACTTCTCTTAAGAAAGTGGGTCACATGTTTCAAAAGTCGAAAGCTTTCAATACGCCACACGGCCCATACCCGTTGGACCAATATAACGACATGTTATTAAGTAGTTACCCTTTTCTAGGTGAATACGTATCGTATATGAATGCTAAAATCTCGATTCAGCCCAAGTAAGTCTTATTCATCTATAAGGGCATTCAGCGCTGGAAACACCTGGACCATGAGATTCAAACATGTTGATAAGGGCCTCTACTTCTAACACCCTCGGTGTTACACCGTAAATCATTTACTAAAACATGTCATGAGCATCATGTTTATGTGTTCAAGCATGTGATAAAGTGTGTAGATCAATTTCTATAACTCGAAACGATCAACAGAAATTCGAAACGAAAGTTGATTTGATAGTCATGTCATATCACTTAGGGTTTAAAACCAATTTTTATTAAGCAAAAATGCTATAGAACATGTATGTGGTACTTAAATAAAGTTTGAAGTACAAACTTTGTAGATGACAATGAAATACTTGCGGTCAAAAAATAATATTACTAGCTAATATTTTCACTGGCTTAGAAATCGCAAATGGAAATCTAATTCAGCTCAAAAACTTAGAGATTTTCAAGTCTGCCAACAATTAGATACTACTATGTTTAGCAATTTTTGTAGAGAAATTGGGTTAAGGAGTAGGGTAGTATTATGGCTTGTTTTAGTAGCCTAATATATCTTCTAAGGTATAGCAAAACTGGTTTGGGGATTGGATCAACAGTTTAGACGTCTCGAACGCTTTAAAATCCGTGCATAACATGAACTCGGGCTGCCTTATGTTGGCCGCGGTCACTAGGCCGTCCAGCCAAGACGTCGCAGCGTCGGTGCGCTGGGTGCACGTGCACGTGACCACGCTGGCCGGTTGCTGCTGCCGCAGCCTGGCCACGGTGGGGATGCCGCGAGCCGCCGCGCCTGCTGCTCACCTGTGCCTGACCATCTTGCCATCATGCTGCGCTGTTGCCGCTGCCGCCGCTCACCTGTGCCTGGGCGTCCTACCGCCGTGCCGCGCTGCTGCCGCTGCCACCGCGCCCGTCGCTCACCTATGCCTGGCCGTCCTGCCACCGTGCCGCGCTGCTGCCGCTGCCGTCGCACCGCCTGGGCTTGGCCGAGGCCGACCGCAGTGAGCCGCTAGCCCTGCGCCCTGCTGCTCTGCCTCGTACTATCGTCTTGGGTGCTGTCGCTGCCGCGCTGCGCTGCCGTCGCGTCCGCACTACTCGCATCGCGACGCTGCCGCTGCCATCGCATCGTCGTCGCGTCTACTCTGGTCCCCTGCATCTCTGCGCTGTTGTCGGTCCTACGCGTGTCGCCTCTGTCGCACGCACGTGGGCGAGCCGCCATCGCCTTGCCATTTATGGCACTACGGCCACGCGGGCCACGCCGGTGGGGAGCGCACACCTGATGGTTAGCGCCGGCATGTGGGCCTCCCGGTCCCACCAAGGCATGGACGAGCCGAGCTCACCTGTCGCGCTGTCTCTCTCTTTCCCTCTTTCTCTCTTTGTTTTCCACCGTTGTCGCGTCGCGTCACGGTGAAGCCAGAGAGCGAGCACCTCTCATCAATTACTCAAGCCCATGTCTCCACCTTCATGATCCCTCTCCAGCCGACCCTACCCTGCCTTGACTCGTGCCACGCCGAGCTCTAATTTTGAAGCTTTGCCCGCTGCCGTGCCGTTAAGGCCCCTCACCTCCTGCATCGTGGCCTGCCTCAACCACTTCACCCCGCGCCAATTTCTCTACACCACTAGCTCGCCTTGGCTCCCTCTTCATCATGCGCATGCTAGTCGCAGCTCTAGTGCCGCCTCCTCGGCGCTGACGCGGCCGTGCCTTTGCGGTCTGCCGTTCACCTCGCAGTGCACACATGGCCAGCCTCGCTCGGGTCGTCTCCAGCCAAGCCGGCTTCTCGGTAAGGTCACTAGTGAGTTGTTGATAAGGATCGGAGATCACCAACAGCAAGATACCGATGGAAACCTCCTCGGGGTGGCCCGATCTTCACGACAGTAGGTTGGAAATCACAAGATAACTTGCTGCGAACAGCAGAGGATAACTAGCTTTATACCTGCCAAGGTTGGATGCGACCAAGCGACAGGGAGAGAGGCACCGAAACCGTGAAGACTTTGACTCGATCTCCGAACGACCGCAGAACCACAACCGGAGCTAATCCACACAAGGCAGGGCAGCCGTACTGGAACCCGCAAAGCACGAACTAGTGGATTCCAGAGGAATCTCTTCACAAGTCTAGGAAGAACAAGGAAAAACAAGGGTTTGAGTAAGCACTCGGCAGCTCGGCTGCAATGTCACTGGAATTATCAAATTATCAAAAAGTCCTTTTCTAGTAGCCTAGAGGTGGTATTTATACTATGAGAAGTCTCTAAGATAGATGTGAACTGAAGAAGCCACGTTGGAAGGTGGAAGGGCAACGGGCTAGAGCATTCATGACGTGGTCTTCAGTTTCCACGCGTCTTCTGGGCTTCTATGCAGTCTTCAATATTTTGGTCCATAACTCCTTCAGTTTTGCATGGGATCTTTAGCTTCATGTAGACTTTAGGCTTCAAGATCTCTCTGATCCATCCTTGATGTATCTTTGTCTTTCTTCTCGGAGAACCTGAGTAATAACAACATGCATGACTTAGGTAGCTCGAAATTACCATCAATGTTTAATTGAAATTCACAAAGTAGCCCGTGCACCTCTTGTTGTATCTTTTTGGTGCGGCTACAGGTGATTGGTCCAGTAGGGACTTGAAGTGGTGTATCAGCTGGTGAGGTGGTCGAAGAGGTTGCCGAGGTCGGTGAAGTGATCGGAGAGGTCGCCGATGTGGTCGGAGAGGTCACCGAGGTGGTCAGAGAGGTGATCGGAGTGGTCGCCGAGGTTTCTGAAGTGGTCGGAGAGGTGGTCGGAAAGGTCGCCGAGGTCTCCGACGCTGGCGTGGTCACATCAGTTGTCGTTGCTCACACGCTACACCTACCGCCTTGTTGTTTCTACGGCTCACCTGAACATCGTCGCCATTGCCATAGGGTGCCCGCTGTCGTGGAGAGATCCTTCTATGGTGTCCCAGCTCGTGCAACCACCGCCCATCGTCTCGCGTCGAACCCTAGGTGAGCGTCGGTCTCATAGATAGGTCAGCGTGGGTCCCATGTGGCTGACGTAAGCGCTAGTGCCACCGCTCGCCGCGCCAGCGTGCGCGGGGATGGTCGAGGGCCTTGCCATGGTAAAGAGGAGAAGATCCGAGGGTTCCGTTGCAAAGTCGCTAACTATAAAAATAGTGCATGTAGTGTTCGTGCTATTTTCTGATAACGCGAGGGCGTTTTTGCTAATGTACCAGGTGATTGCCCAATTACTAAAGAACGAACCAATGCAGACTATTAGCGGCCCTTGGTGGCTGATACAATTGTGGCTCAATTTGTACATGCACAAGATTATAAGGCATGATCTCAGAGACCTGAGCTTTCCTTCTTCTAATTTTGATGAGGAATATAGAGGCGAAGAAGGAAGAACTCGACAGTGTACAAGCTATGGCGAGGCTGCATCGGCCATAATAATTGACTTCGATGTTGGCCACCTCTTCAAAAAGCTTTATAGAGGGTTTGATGCGGCCATCTTGACTTGGATACCTTATAATGAGGATGATGAACTGACTTTTCCATTCAAATTCCGATTTGAATCCGACTGTTCAGATGAGACAGCGGCTGCGATCTTTAATTCCTTTATTAAGCCCTGTGTTCTCCTAGCCAAATTTCATCACGGTCGTGGCAAAATGGTTAAAGGTTCCTCCATCCCAGGCAATCCTCCAACCTATGAGTTTTACAACCCTTCTTTTGTGGCCCGTCAGTTTGGCCTCGGTCAACTTCCCCCTAGCCTGTTCTTCAAGAACATCCTGAA